GGGTATTTATGGTTTCTTACTGGACCCAGGTTTTACTCGCCGTCCATCGGAGGTCTGCCGGTACGGTCGCAAAGGCCTGTCAGACATAGAGACAGGTGTCGTGAATCGATGGTTGTCATACTTGGTCAATCTAACGGTGCAAATTGCCCTTGTACGGATGACCGGGAACATGGTATGAGCTCTCAAATGTTAGAGTGCTTGGTGGGGAGATTGGTCACTGGGCGGTATCTGACGTTAGGTATTTGGGTATAGAGGTTGTTGAGCAACATAAAAGGTGGTGGTGTCATGCTCGGCGACTATAGCGGAAGCAGAACATCAGTGGTCTGTTCTCAACGGCATACTCATGAACAGTACTCGACATACAGAGCCGAACAGACATCCAACATAGCCTAAATTATAAAAATACTCTTGTGCTTAATTTTCTTTTTATATATTTTCGTTTTGCGAAAAAATTCTATATGATATAGTCTTTTTTTTTCCTTCCTTAATTATTTTTTTATGTGTAATCCTTGTTAGTCTTATAGCGATACTTAAAAAAATATTTGTGTTGATTTTGTATTAACTAACTAACTAAGATTTTGATCATTAAATAAATGAAAAAAATAATAACATAAAAATTAAAACTTAACACACGAATTACTCTCTACGTGCATGCACGTAGAGTTCAACTAGTATTTAAGACAAAAGAAAAAAAGGTTTCAATGAGGATAAATCAAATATAAATCTAACAGAGGATATATATATATATATATATATATATATGAGAAGACTAAAGATGTTAAGTAGACATTTAAAAGTCAAAAAACGTAAGAGTTTATGGGAAAAAGAGTAAGAACAAGTTAAGAAAACATAAAATAAATAGAGCATATATAAGAAAAAGAAATATTTTGGTCAGCCAAATTAAATAAAAAATCCTAATTTGCATATGAAGAAGAAAAATATATATAAGTAAATACATAGTTGAGATAAATTATTTTATCAGGATAATTAGCAAAACAGTATTGATGAAAGCAAAAAACACTTTATTGTGAATATATTTAAGAAGAAGTGTTAGTTGGTTTTTTTTTTAATTTTAAACAATAACTATTTTAAAATGTAAATTTTAGGAGAAAGAAATAAAAATAAGTAAAAGGGCAAAAAAGGAAACTTAATAAGAAAACGACAAAGAGAGTAAAAATAATAAAAAAGAGTTGTAGAAGACAACAAACTAGTCGTACGGTGTTAAAAAATACTCTGCTTTATGATGCAGTTATATCATCAAAGAAGTTTGGTATTGCTCCTTTAATTTCATAAAAAAATTTATTGTTTATTACTCTTTTACTTAAGATAAGTCTATTTTTGTCATTTCTCCATCATTTTTCGTTGGCTGTGTGGTGTGTATTTTCACGGTACTCTATATTGGATTATGGATATAGATAGATAAATTACATACACATAATTATTTCAATATGTATTCATCTATATGTATTATTATTTTAATCATAAAATATTAATATGACAGTTGTAATAAATTAAATAATTAATTAAAAAATTAATAATATCCATTTTAAAGTGACACCTTATAAAAATTTAACTATTGAAAATTCACCATATATATCCATTTTTTATAAGTCTATGTATAATTGACCTTTTGTCGTTTTTGTTTTATATTCTTTTTCCTGCAAAGACCTTTCACCTTTGGCTTTTGTCCTCCGTTAATTCGAAGATCGAGGCATGGATTTTTCTCCACTCTCCATTTCCAACTTGCAAGATTTTTTTATTCATGATTCTGTTTTTCATGGGGAAAAAAATAAAAGTATTGATTTTTGAAAGACTTTTGTTTCTAGAGATTTATAGAAATGTTGGTTGGAGAAGTTTGGATCGTTTAATCAAGTGTGGAGGTTAGAATTTTTGACCCCCTAATATACTTGTATTTTATTTCTTCACGAGTTTAGTGTGTCTTATGAACATAAAATATATTTTATTTTTTCTGACTTTCTTCAATAGCGCCTCTTTATCGGTTGAGTCAGTTTCTGACCATTTGATATCGTCAAAATCACATTAAATAAAAAAAATATTCAAAATAAACAATTTTTAACATAAATTTGATAGATAAAAGTAAATAATTAAAGGCAGTTTATGAGTTTTTAATGGTTACTTCTCATTGTTAGTAATCATTAAATATAAAAATTTAATAACGTGATGTGATAAAATTTAATATCATTAATTGTCATAATTGTGTTAAGTTAACTATTTAATTTATTATAACCATCTGATTAAAATTTTACGGTTAAAATAATGATGCTCATTAATGAGTAAATAATAGAGTAACCATTAAAATTAAACATATATATATTGGTGTGGTTTAGTAGTTATTCTAATATTTACTCATCAATAGGTATTATAATTTTAGCCACAAGATATCAATCTGACAGTTATAATAAATTATATAAATGACCAAAAAAATTTAAAATAATTAATAAAACTAGATTTTTATCACGTCACGACATTAAATTTTTATATTTAATAGTAACTACTGATAAAAATGTGACCATTAAATAATGTGTCTTTCTTATCATGGTCACATAAATATTATCCTATCTTATCTATTTTTTTAAAGTTGGAAGTCTTAATTTTTTTCCTTAAAAAAAATCGCAAGTAATTATATATTTTTCTAATCCGACTTTTCTTCTCCCCTATCCAAGTTTGAGGCATTCATCAATCCTCATCACATCATCATCATCATCTTCTTCTCTTTAATCTTTTGGGATTTTTTTGATATTTCCTCTCTTTAAGAAATACCGGTGTTCCTATTAAGCCGTTGGATTTATATTAAATCTAATTAAAAATCAACTCAAATTTAAAAAAAATAATATAAATTTAACGATTGATAAATAAAAACACCGATGTTTAAAAAAACCACCAAAAATATTCCCTGATCTTTATTGGAAACTTGCAAGAAAATTTTGTGAAGAAAATATTGTCACTCTAAGGTCAAGAAAGTATTTTGTGAAGAAAATATTGTCACTCTAAGGTCAAGAAAGTTAGGTACAATGTGAACAACAATTTTATTTCCACCAAAGATTTGAACGACAGGTGGAAAATTTACCGAAAACATTAAAGACGAATAAAGGACCATATAATCGTTTCGCTTTCTGATGTAAAACGTGGGCCTGTTCGGTTCGCTAATTCGAGTTAAGATGTGATGTTGTGTGAGAGCTTTTTATTGTAGCAAAAAAGTTAGAAGTGACTGTTTCTGAGAGCGTTTTACTGTAACAAAACTCGAATGAACGAAATGAACGTGCTGGATTATAACTTGATTGTTTTCATCTGATAAAGCATTTTGATTCAACTCGTGTAAACGCCTAAAAAAAAAAAATCATGAAACGTGTGTGGCAGAAGGAGAGAAATGTGTGTCGTACCTTGGTAGTAAATCGCCTTGACTTTATTACAGGGTGTAGAATTTTTAAAAAAAAAGGGTGAGTTTTTCTGATAAAATTACAAAAAAAATTATCGATAGTTATTTTGTAGTTGTTTAATCTATATTAAAAGTTACTTATTTTGTATATTTTTTAATTTAATGTGATTTTGATTAAATGTTACGGTTAAAAACTGATCTTATTATAAATCAACCTATCAGAGAAAATCCTTAAAAAAAAAAACTTGAAAAAATGTCATGTATCATAACAAATAACAATTAGAGGGAGTTATGAAAAAAATATAAAATATATATTTGTCTGTTGTGGCATTTATTTAGATTTTACTAAGATGCTTGATGAACATGAGATTTATATTTTATTTTTGTTAGAATTTGTATAATATCATCTTATCTAATTAAATGATTATACTAATGAATGTATAGGTGATTATATTTGCCTCCCCCAAATTGATGAATCTTTCCAACTAATAACAGTCTATTAATAAAAGTTTAGAAACTTCAATTTTGTATAGATATTCTAAGATTCTTTATATAATAACTAAATTAACTAAACCGTACTTCAATTTAAATTTATGAAATCTGTTTCATAAACTATTTAAAGGTAGATTAGCAAAAAAAAAAAAAAAAAAAAAAAAAAAAAAAAAAAAAAAAACTATATAAGGGTATTTACGTCGCTTTACCTTATTTTTGTTGTTTCAAAAGTGGATAAAACTGAAATACGTTTTTCAAAGTCAAAGGGCACTTGTGTAGTTTCAGAAAATCAAGGGACAAATTGAGAAATAATTAAAGCTAACCCTATTTCAAACACATTTTAGTTTCGTCTTAATGCAAACATCGATATCAAAGCTGTGTTTGACGCTAAAATAGTGTGAAAGTATATTTTATATAGTATTCTATTGTATACTCCAGTGCCCTTAGTTTTTTCATAATTATTAAGTTTCGAAAATGTAAAAGTAAACTCTAGTTTCAAAACAAATTAAAAATGAAAATGTTGCAAGGATTAAATGAAAAAGTGAATACATGAACCAATAACGATTGAATATCAAAATTTATCATATGTTATAGGCAGTGTCAAATTTGATTAGCATGTGATATATTTAATATAAAAAATAGTAATGCATTTAAAATTGGTGTTTCTACTCAAACTCTAAAATTTATAATGCTAATTTGACATTTTATTAGAGATGCTATGAAGTCAATAACAAAAATAAAACACATTGTAAGTGATAAAGATAGATTAAGGGGATGCTTATTTTCTGTATTTGTCTCTAATTTTGAATCATGATTCATAGTTCTGTATAGTGTTTTTCTCTTATAAAAAACACATGTAAAATGATAATGGTTCTAAATCCATAAACTAAATATCCACTAAATTATATACTTCACTCATATCATTTTGATGTGTAAATTAGACTTATTTTATTTATTTATTATTATTATTATTATTGTGAAAAACTCTATAAAATTAGTATTCATCGAATTCACCCATGATATAAAAGCTTAGACCATGTGACACCGCAGTCCCAATTGCCCATGCCCAGGGCAAATGGCAAACGCAAGAGGATGTTGAAGCATTTTGTGAGCAGAAAATATACATTGAAATTTATCCACGTGAATGTAGATATAATTAGGCACCGTTTATTTCACTGATTCGAGTTTAAAATTCGAGTTTTATTACAGTAAAAAGCTCTCACAAATAATCACATCTAACTTTTTTACTACAGTAAAAAACTCTCATATAAAATCACATATTAATTCGAGTTTTACTACAACTCTCATATATATGGCCACAAAGAGAACAAGTGGACCCCACGCTATTGGGACACAGAACCATATCTCCATCATGCTACCGTAACAATTGCATGTTGTATTCCTCACTCATCAATAATTTTATCTTTTGGATGATTTCTTTTTTGTCATCCTTTGTTTTTGAGATTTTTTTTAATCAGAATATTTTATGCACATTTCCTAATAATGCCTTAAATAAATCGTTTGAATATGAAAAAAAATGTGTCCAAGCTTATCTGGAATCTAAATCGAAATTGATGAAAGAGAAGTTACGGGTATCGTTCATTTTACTAATTTGAGTTTTCAATTCCAATTTTGTTACAGTTAAAAATTCTTACAAAAATTTACATTTAACTTTTTCTATTACCGTGAATTTTTTTTACATAAAATCACATTTAAACTTAAATTCGTGAACTCAATGAGGCCGTAATAGACGCACTTTCCAAATCTTAAGAAAGGAGGTGTTGAACGAGTCCTCTGTGCTGTACAAGTATGTTATTTGCACAAGCTAAGCAAAACACAAAGGGATAGGTCTTAAATTTGTGTCTAAATATGATTCAAGAATCAAGCACACGTATATTTGTTTAACATGAAAAACTCACGTTTATGCATTATGAAGCTTACAAGTACTAAACTTAAGCCATTAAAGGGGTTAATTCAGAAAAAAAAAAAAACACAAAACAAAAGTCACTAAGGGGGTTTGTGAGTGGAAGTTACAAACTAAATATAATGTAATCTCATTACTATTAAAATGTCGAGGAAGATCTAATAACCGATGGGAAATTGTAACTAATATCTTAGAGCAAATAACTTATTTATAATTTAATGCCATTGTTAATAAGTAGTACTTTTAATTTTAAAATAAAATTATAACGTTTAAAAATGAGTTTATTTACTCAAAAATCAGTAATGTAAAATAAACAATAGTAATTTGATAAAAAAAAAAAAGCATGAGAGTAAATTCATTATATTCGATTTACCAATTTTTATCATCATATATCCAGAAAATTATTAAATTTACTAATTAAATTAATCCATAAATACTAGATTTACTACTATTTACTAACTTATAATCAAAATATATATAGAAATTATGGTAGATAGAAACTTTCCGAAAAAGAATTTTGATAAATGACATGGTTTGAAATTAATTTTAGTAAATAACAATTTTTGTATTTAGAAAACAAATAGAAATTATAGTAAATGACGTTTATGAGAAACATATATAATGAGAGAAAATAGTAACAACGGTGGCTTGACGGTTCTAGGAAGGAGAAGAGGCGTAGTGGCATTTTGAGGATTTCTCAATCTTGTTTTGTAAAATATGTTATTAACTCTGTACCTTAAGGGCTCGTTTAGTTTGCTGATTCGAATTGAGATGTGACTTTATGTGAGAGTTTTTTACTGTAGTAAAAAAGTTAGATGTAACTGTTTTTGAGAACCTTTTACTGTAGTAAAATTCAAATTCTAAACTCAAATCGGTAAAATGAACGGGGCATACATTTATAATATTAATTTTTACTGCCCTCCCCCAAAACGTGTTATTTCCCCATTCTTCCTATTTTATTTTCTAATGTAGAAAAGCCTACGTATTTGGAAAGTCCAATTAACGAGTAGTCAAAGACTAGTCCAACCCAAAAGAGCCTTCAAAACCCAAATCAAAATAGGGCCAGAGATTAGACATAAATGACTTAAGCATCATGGCCATGTCCAATAGATCTTGTTATGTAAAATATGTTATTAACTCTATACCTTAAGGGAATGTGATTTTATGTGAGAGGTTTAGATGTAACTGTTTATGAAATTTTTTTATTATAGTAAAACTCGAATTCTAAATTTAAATCGGTGAAATGAACGGGGTCTAAATTTATAATATTAATTTTTACTGCCCTCCCCCAAAACGTGTTATTTCCCCATTCTTCCTATTTTATTTTCTAATGTAGAAAAGCCTACGTATTTGGAAAGTCCAATTAACGAGTAGTCAAAGACTAGTCCAACCCAAAAGAGCCTTCAAAACCCAAATCAAAATAGGGCCAAAGATTTGACATAAATGACTTAAGCATCATGGCCATGTCCAATATAATATTTAGGAAACCAATGGAAGAGTTAATTAGCTAGGAAGCATCATTAATTAGCAGTAATGTTCCAATAAGAATTATATTCGTTCTCTTTCTTGATATGATGCAGGATTAAACATGCGTTAACTTAGGGCCCGTTTAATTCGCTAATTTGAGTTGAGATGTGACTTTATGTGAGAGTTTTTTACTGAAATAAAAAAATTAGATGTAATTATTTAAAAGAGCTTTTTACTGTAGCAAAACTTGAATCGGTAAAATGAACGGGACTTAGTGATCATTGGCAATCATATTCTTCTGCTTCCGTTAAAATGGTGTCATCTCGTTTTTTCACACGAATAAGCTCATAGTCAAAGGGAAGTCCAATTAAAAGATTTTATACAATACACACAATCCCACGCCTAGACAAGTTTTGTTGCCTATTATATTAAAATCAAAATACCCTTTTCTTCTATTGGGTATATACCTTAAATTTACTTTATCCCACTAAGTTCTTATTTTGTGAGTTTGGTCTATTGAGAGTCGATAAGTATATTGTTTCGCCTACGGTATCATGAGTTAAAGTAAATCTGTGATGCAGAACAATTTAAAATTGATTGGATTTTGTGATGCAAATTGGGTGAGTTGCCCGAGTACTATAAATCTTTTACCAGATACTGTGTTTTTCTTAGGGTTTGTTTAGTTCACTGATTCGAATTAAGATGTGATTTTGTATGAGAGCTTTTTACTGTAGTAAAAAAATTAGATGTGATTGTTTCTGAGAGTTTTTTATTGTAACAAAATTCGAATTCTAAACTCGAATCAATTAAATAAACGGGGCTTTAAAAAGTCTCTCGTTCTTAAAATCACCAACAATAGAGCATGGAAATATGGCTTCCATAACTTGTGAGTTTACATGGTTGAGATCTCTTCTTCGAGATCTGTAAGTTACCGATTTGAGAGTGACAAGATGCATTGTGATAATCAGGCATTTTGCACATGGCAGCAAACCCAAGATAAAGTTGAGTCTCGAGATATACAAAGGTATCATTCATTTCACCGATTCGAGTTTTTAATTTTAATTTTTTACAATTAAAAGCTCTTATAAAGTGTCACATCTAACTTTTTCTGCTATAGTTATAAGTTTTAAAAAAATGTTACATCCCAACTCGAATCCGCGAAGTGAATGAGACAACTTTCTTCACCCCATCTCATCTTCGAGTCGAGACTTTAATTCGATAACAATTTCAAAAATATGGAAGAAAGTTATTTTGACCATATATATAGATGTCTTTATTTACCCTAAAAAAAAAAAATAATGATATATTTTTTTTGGATAAATTTTAAAAATTATCCCTGAATTATGACCATTTTAACACTTTGCATCCTGAAATTTAAAAGGCAACATCCGTTCTCTTCGAACTTTGTTCTGTTAACAATTTGTCCCATTCTTTTACAATGAGTGACAGAATTCACCACGTGTCAGGTACATGAGTCATCGGAGGAGGGTATTATCATAAATTAACCTACAACAACCCTTTCAAGCATTAAAGAAAGAAAACACAGTAAATAAACATGACCCATTTGATGGGCTGCATTGTAATCTCCGGCGTTGGATTAGAACCTGATGGAGCGAGAGGAGTAATCCTAGGAGGTGGGGGTGCATTCCTGGAAGGTATTGATGCTGATGGATGAGGTGATTCTTCAGGGAAAATAAATGTTGGTGAAAGTGGAGGAGAACTTGTGGGCGGAACAAATTTTGGTGGTGGGGGCGGAGGGGGTGAACTTTGCGGTGGCGAAGATGCCGAGGGCAAGGGTGAACTATCAAGTGCCGTTGGCGATGGTGGTGGAGGTGAATTTTCAGGTGGTTTTGGCGATGGTGGAGGTGGGGAATTCGCAGGTGGGTTGGATGACAGATGTGGAGATGAACTCACTAGCGGAGTTGAACTAAGTGGTGGTGGTGAACTCACTGGTGGGGTAGAACTAGGTGGTGGTGGTGATGGTGAAGGTGAAGTTTTTGTGAGTTATGATTGTACAAAGATGGGGAACAAAATGAGGAAAAAAAAAAGAAAAATGGGAAACGAAGATGGTGATTTTTTTTAATAAAATAGATAATTATCTAATTATGAGGGTAGAAACGTAATTGCGTTTTCAATTCTTATTAAATAAGTAGCACGTGGTAATTCTGTCACTTATTATAATAAAATAAAAAAAATTTATTAATAAAATAAAATTTGAATGGAATGAATGTTATTTTTTAAAATTTAAAAGATAAAGTATTAAAACGATCGTAATTTAAGGAGAATTTTTAAAATTAATTTTTTTTATGTCTCATTTCCAAGTGGTAATGATCACAAGTAGAGTCACGGGTCCACATTAGAACGCACGCGAACAAAGAGCTACTACAAACGACAAAAAATTAGAAAAATGAAAAAGAAAACAAGAAGGGAAAAAAAAAAACAAAGAAAGCATCTTGAAAAGTGTGCAAGTTATTTATTTAGCTATATTTTATTTTTAAAGGCGTTAATTGCCTCCTAAAGGCCTTAAACTAAACAAGTGAATAAGTGAATGCCCCTAAAAAAGAAAAAAAATTGAATAAGTGAATGTGGTTACATACCAGCGGATATATAAAGTGAATTGGACCATTTAATTCGTTAATTTGAATTATTAATTTGAGTTGAGATGTGACTTTATGTAAGAATTTTTTACTGTAGTAAAAAAATTAAATGTGATTATTTCTGAGAGCTTTTTACTGTAATAAAACTCAAATTCTAAACTTAAATCGGTGAAATGAACATGACTTAAAAAGATTCAATGCAATTTTGCTCAAACAATACACTCCAGTTAAATTCTTTGGGAAGCTACAGATACATATATCTTCATGAATGATCATTAAAAAACAAAAAAACAAAAATCAAACTAAAGAAACATTTAAAGAAGATACAAAACCAAGAAATCAGGAAACATACAATAATGAACAAAAAGCGTGGGCAAATTACAAAATGAGATCAAATGTAATTAAGAAGCAGGTGAGGAGTGAAAACCATAGCAAAGTTCCAAAAACCACCCGATCTATTTGCATCCCACCATCACTTTTGGTGTCGGCAATAGTACTTGAAGAATTTCCTTTAAAAAAAAAGAAAAATCAAACAACATGAGCATAAATTACGTACATATAAAATTTATCTAATTAATAAGATTGTCACAAGTTAGATCTATCAGTGAAAAAATGACAATTTATTGTGACATAAATTGTGTAAGAAAAATTCAAATTAGAGTTGGTGTTTGTAACATTTAAGATCCGTTTAGTTCGCTGATTTGAGTTCAGATGTGACTTTATGTGAGAATTTTTTACTGTAGTAAAAAAATTAAATGTGACTGTTTCTAAAATTTTTTTACTATAATAAAACATTCTAAATTCAAATCAGTTAAGTGAACAAGACCTTAGTACTCTAACAAATTCGACCAACAAATTATGGAAACATGGCCACGTACCACTTGGAATGGGGGCGGTTGTGGTCTTTCCATTGTTGTTTGCGAGTCCCTCAAACACCTTTGCATCTGATGAGTTTGGTGCCAAATGAAGAAGGTCTGCACATAAGCATTAATTATTAACACAATGACGTTAGCCAATCAAATATACCCTTGTCAAACATTAAATAGTATCCGAATGAGCATTTATTGCAAAAAGCTATGTTTAATCCCCTCAAAACTAGAAAATGAAAATACTATATATATATATATATATATATCTATGGTCCTTACCTAAAAAGTTATAAAAAATAATCACATTTATTTTTTTTATTATAGTAAAATTTTTTTACATAATATTACATATTAATTTTAATTAAAAATTTAAATCAGTGAATTAAACGGACCCTATAAATGCTCAAGATCCCTCTAAATTTATATTGGTCCAATATTTTAGGTGAGGTGGGATTATATTTATTCACTTGATATTGATTGTCTGTTGATCTGTTCTTTCCTATTTATTTTTCTTTCCTTTTTTTTTTTTTTTTTGAAAAGACTTTCCCACTTTTCCTTCTCTTTTATTATCTGGAAACGCTCAAAAAATATTACGTTCCATACCCTGAGGTCATATGTAAGTTAAGATTATAGCTCCTTGTAGGAAAGTCGACTCTCACGCCAATATATCTAAATAAGTAAATGAAATAAAAATTAATATAATAGCTAAAATAAATTACGTGGGGATAAAATCAGAAAATTCAGCTAATTTATCATGAAATATCTTTAGTGGTTGTCCACATAATCAGGATGTACTAGAGTGGCTTTGATACTAGCTTATTCCTCTCTTTAATTTAAAAAAAAAAGTACGTAGTATTTTTATTTTGTTACCACACTTAATCTATAATCTTGAACATAATTCTATTAATGGGACATAATCTATGCAGACAATTCCGTACACTATTTACTCATCTATCCGGTATGATTCATGTCCTCTTTTTTAACTAGAGAAGAAACATATTCTGGGACATAATTTTTAATCACCAGACAAAATTCTACTAGTACAGTTTTAAACCGTCTCATCAAATTATTATAATCATATCCATTAAAATAAGATATGAAAATTTAACGATTAAAAATTGTATCATATTAAAAGTGAATTCTTTACGCAAAATATGTATGTGCGCGCTATGTACTTACCGACACACTTGGAGATGTTAGTGGGAATATGGCAGGCATTGGGGAGTTGCATAGCGAGGGTGGAGTTGATCTTGACGCCAAGATTGGGGTCGTCGCGGTCTTTGATGAGAACGCAGAGGCACTTCTTGCTTTTGTCCACGACTTCCTTCAGTCCGCTGCAGCAGTCCATCGTCGGAGTCTTGGCGTCGCCGCCGACGTAAGGCAAGCACGTCGCCAGTCCCACAAGCTTGTCCGCGCATTCTGCTCTGTCTTGCTCTAGGTTTGCCCCAACTATTACTATCAAAGCCAAACCCAACGATATTGTGTATTCAACTGCTAAACTTGAAGCCATTATAACTAGCTAGCTAGTAATAATTCCTTCTTTTGCTTTAGGACCTTAGATGAGAAAGAAAGAGAGATCGGAAGGAATCTATATATGTGTATATATAACCTTTTTTATGGTGTTGAGTTCATGAGGCTCTCTTTACTTTATACCCCTTTTTATCCTTTGCTTGTGACTTGTGACTTTACATTGAGGACAGTAAAGCAATGGGTGGTGGTGGTGGAGTTGAGACATAATTAGGTTGAGACTAACCCATGTGAAAGCCAAGTTTTGTCTTTTAACGAGCAGCCTTATTCTTATTTAAGCAGCATAATTAATGTGATTAACTAATTCCCATGATATTTATAAATTAAATGAACCTTGTAGAATTGTGGAAATAATTAATCAACTTATTCAAAATGCTAATCATATATATATATCATTATTTTGATTTAATTAGATTTGCTTATTTAAGAGACTAAGATAGAAATAAATCAGAATTTCAGAAATGATTAAAGCATATTAGACAAGATCACTTTTGGGGCACGGGAAGCAAAGGCCATGTATACATGCAAAATCCGCAATAAATAGACAATAAGGTTGTAGTGTAGAAAAGTGGTCAATGAGTATTATTACATGATATTGTCTATAGTCCCAACTATGGTGTGTTGGGGACGGTTTGTGACACATTGTAAGGGGAATATGAGACATGATCATGCAAAATGCAATGTGAATAGCAGAAAACAACCCAAAACCATTGTGAAAAGAAATCCAAAAATCATCATTTGAGTAATATTCGAATTCGATCCACGGCCCCAGAAAACACCAACATTCCGTTACGATGGATGTTATGGATTACGCACAAATTGGTCGGTTGGCTTGGTCCCGGTAGTCGGGCAATTGGTATTGAGCGGGGTTGGAGCCTAGTTAGTTGATTTAATCGGATGCTGATGTGGGTCGAACTCGACCAGACACTTCTGCTTAGATCCACTCGGACCGTGGGCTACATTAGCCCGTCCTATCATTTTGGTGGGTCGAACCATGCTATTAAATTAAGATTTTTGAAATAAACAGTTTTCGTTCCTATGCTATTAAATTGTTTATTTTCAGACAAAATATAACATAGAGATTACTTGTAAGAGTGTTAAAAGAGGGGCAATAATTATTTCCGAAAGAAAAATTAAAAACTGGACTGGGTGCTACATTTTATTTTTCAGCTTAGAATTTTTTTTAAAGAATCTATTTTTTCAACTTTGTTTGTCTTTCTACTATTTTGTCTATCTTGGAGTCCTTTGTGTGCCATTTTTGTGTTACATTTTGTTTGAAAACAGACTGTAAAATACAGACATATGAAAAAAAAGGTTTCAGAAACCTCATGGTAGCTACTAGTTCGACCTCTAAAATTGAATATAGGTGTAAAATGAGACAATTGCATCTCCTCAAGGGCCATTGGTGTAAATAAAGCTTTTGTTGTTTGTGGCTTGGGAAGTTGCGTCTAGGGCTATTAATAAACCCGCAAAACCCGCAGGTCCAATCCACCCTACCCCAACTCAATCTGAAAAAAATGCAATTTCTAGTATTAAAATTTTTTTGCGGCCCATTCAATGTATGACCCGAAGTTTTAGGACGGGGTGTGAGTTGGGCCTATAATGGCCTGCACACCCAAATCCAACACGCGCTCTAACTTGTCTCCTCTAATATCTAATCCTAGGCAGACAACTCATTTCTATTCTCTAGTTTCTTCATGTTTAAATTAAGCCTCTATGATTGCTTTATGTTAAGACTAATTTATGAGTGTAGACTAATTTATATTTGCTTTATGTTTGATGTTGGATGGACTACTTTGCTTCATGTTTGATGTTAGATTGAACTTTAAGTCTTTGATTCTTTGAATGTTAAAACCGACCACCCAACCCACCCTGCACCTCCCCAACCCAACCCAAACATCATTGGGTTGTGAAATTTTTCTAACATCGTTGGGGCCAAATAAGTGCAACCTGCATTCTTTGAGGTGGGGGAAGAAAAAGCCATATCCCGCACCAACTCAACCCATGAACAACCCTAGTTGCGTCTTTTGCCAATTATTATGGTTTTGCTAATTGGATCCTCGAAATGGATACAGTTAATGTGAGTAAGGCCATGCGTAGACCTTCATTACGAGCTCCAGCAGAACAAATGCGTTTGTAATTGATTTTTGTTTGTTTTTGAAAACGGTTTTAGATGTTTTTTGAGGTACGAAAATAAAAACAGTCTACAAACCGTGTTTGTTTAGTAAATGTTTTGAAACGAAAATGAAAAAGAAAAACAGTGAGAATAGTTGAAAATGAAAATGAAAAAGAAAAATGAAAACGAAAATGAAGGAGTTAGAAAAAAATTAAAAGTTATTTTTCTTTTTCTGTTTTCATTTTCTATTACTTATCAACAATATTATAATATATTAATTAATAATTATTATCAAACACGATTTTATTTTTTTATTATACTCAAACTAATCTCTTAAAAGACCAACCAAACGCAATTTCAGAATTAGTTACAGAATAATTCTTAAAATAATCTCATTTTTACTTTTGTATTGAAAATAAAATCATTTTGAAAACGTTACCAAACGGGCCCAAATAATCCTGAGTCTGCGTGATATCAAATTTTTATTTGGTTATGCAGAATCATTATGTTTCTTACGTTCTTAAATATGTAAATCGTGTATTATTCCACTAGCTAAAGGCCCGTTTAGTTTGCTGAATCGAGTTTTTAATTTGAATTGAGATGTGACTTTATGTGAGAGTTTTTTACTGTAATAAAAAAGTTAGATGTAACTGTTTTTGAGAGCCTTTTGCTGTAACAAAACTTGAATTCTAAACTCGAATCGGTGAAATGAACGAGGTCTAAGTGTGCATTTTCTTTTCCAATTTATTCTTCACGTTGTTGGGTTGATGCTATCCGCTTTGTATTGATTCGGTGCCGGTGTGTTTTCGAAATGAAATGGAGTTTTCCATTAAGAAAAAACATGACATAGAAATTAACGCTGCCAGTCAGATCGTTAATGCAAGTATATGCATGTGAATAGAGTGTGAGTTGTTTAGTTCACGAGTTTAAATTTATAATTTTAATTCAGTTAGTAAGTTTTTTTATAAAATTTAAATTTAAAATTAAAATTACTGATTAATTAACTCAGGAACAAAACGAGCTCTATACATATAAAATAAATTGAGAGGGAAAATAAGAGAGAGAATAAAAAATAAAGTCATGGTTAAAGTGTAGCAAGAAGTTTCCTTTTGGCATTAAGGGCATCAAACCATCAAATACAGGGAAATAAATCACATCAAACATAAAGGGCCACATCACGTGGATTAATGAAAAACCACAGTAAATAAGTAGCCAAAGTCATCTCTAAAACCTTATTATGATTCCATCTCTTTCCCCTTTGGCAGCTGTATTTCCGTGACTTGTAGAATTTCCTTCAACAAAAATTCCCCAAGTAAGATTTAAACAATAATACATATAGATAATCATAAAAGAAAAACAAAAGCATGGGGAAAACATGAGCATAGCATACTCAAATAATTCTTATATGTATATATATTTAAATATTTGCACACACACCAGAGAGTTTTGTGATTAGGTAAAAAAAATATTCGTCGTATAAAAATATATACGCATATATTATATGTGTGTGGGTGTATTACCATCAGTACGGGCAGCTGGAGAAGCAGAAGTGCTAGTTCCATTTCCGAGGCTTTTTGCAAAGTCTTCAAACACCTTTGCATCTGTGGAGTTGGGTGCTAAACCCAGAAGATCTGTATCCATTAACGCATTAAATTAGTTACTATGCACTTTTAGTTGTAGCAGTCTGTTTTTTTTTTAAGGGAGAAAATAATTTTTTTTTATTAAATAAGGTCAATAAGTATAACGCCGTTTGTACTAACAAATAGGAGATACGCCTATTTAACGACGATTTTTAGGAAATCGTCGTCCAATGAGCTAAAAAAATGTGGTACGTACAAACACAAAATATTTGTATGCGCACATTAGACGATGTTTTTAAAAAACTATCGTTTAATGTCAAAAAATTTCAAAAAAAAGAAAAAAGACTTGACTTTTTTCTACTCATTTGTTTTGGAAAATTTTTAAAGTTTTAATATCTCATCTATAATTTCAAGCATTCTCTTACAGACTCTATGTTTGTTATCTCAAATCTCTTCATCTCTCCAAAGCTCTCTCTCTTCCTCACCCTATCTCTCTCTCTAACTCTCCTCTCAATACTTCATTTTTTTTCTTCTCAAATCTCATCTCTTCTACACTCCTCACTCCCATTACTATATGTACGCCTCACTCCCTCTACTTGGCCGCCGCCTCTAAGAGCCTCATAATCATGCTCATATGTCGCCGGCCGTCATGACCTTGCCTCCATATCCGCCACTACATTATGACCATCGAAATGAGTACTTTGTTAATCTTTTAAAATTTCTTTTCTTTGAGATTATTATTATTATTTATTTGGATTTAGAGTTTTATTTGGATTAATTAGGTATTTTTGTTATTAAATTTCGTAGAGACTTTGGTTTTAAAATATTTGTGTTACATATATATTGATTATGTACTAGAAGGTGAATTTGTAACATGTTGTTTTGAATTTTTTCATGTGTATTGTTCAATGACTTGTGATAACATTTGAAAAAATAATTGTTTAGAGCAAAGAATCAGTTTTCGGCAAAAACATATATTTTAAATTTTTTAATACTTTTAATGACAGTTTTTTTAAAAATTGTCATTAAAAGTTACACATGAGACGACAGTTTTTTTTAAAAAACCGTCGTTAAAAGTTGATATTAGACGACGGTTTTTTAAAAAAATCGGTCTAATGTGCTTTTTTAAACTTTTGTGATATCTTATCGTATTAAACTTTAACCGTCATCGTATCTTTTGAACATTTAACGACTCTGCATACGACGACAGTTTTTAAACCGTCGTTGTATTTTTTGATGACGGTTTAGTGTTGTTTGAATTATTACAGTTCCAACCTTTTTGTTAATGTTTCATTTAAAAGTATTGAATTTTTGTTCAAATTTATGAACTGAACCGATCACTAATTTCTAGCATCGTCGCTTTGCTTCTAGCAGTTAGTTGTAGTCCCACGAAAAGTTTATCAAAAGATACATAAAAATGAACGCATATTAATATTATCATCCGAAATTGCACTTATAATAACAAACAATAATCACACTGAAAATTCTTGTGAATACGTGTCTCATTCGTTTGCGTTTATATTTATAATCTCTCTTATCCACAAATAACAGAGACGCGCCATACCACTCACACTCGGTGGGGGTACGTAGGCTGTCCCACTCGAATTTTGAAACAATTTTTTAATGTAAAATTTTTATAAAATAAACAGTCGTGCATTATTTAATAAGAATAATTATAACTATAACTGCACTAGAAAAGAGAATTACAACTTATTAATTCCCGTTCATTTCACCGATTCGAATTTATAATTCGAGTTCAACTACAGTAAAAAGCTTTCAGAAACAGTCAAATCTAACATTTTTGCTACATTAAAAAGCTCTCACATAAAATCACATCTAAACTCGAATCAGCGAACTAAACATACTATAATGTGCTTATGCATTCCATTTTTTTCCTAAAAAAGTACTGCATATATGTAAGGGGAAGAAGATATAAAGAGTTATATAATATATATATATGTGTGTGTGTGTGTGGATGAGTTTTTATAATGAAGAATAGAAGAAAGTATATATATGTACTAATCTTACCAACACAGGCAGTTAGGTTTAGGGGAACATGACAAGTAGAAGGAAGTTGCAAGGCACGGGTCACATTGAACTTGATATCAAGTTCTGGGTCATCTCTGTCTTTGACGAGCACACAAAGACATTTTGTGCTCTTTTCCACCACCGTCTTCAGTCCACGACAACAATCTGACGTAGGGCTACTCGCTTGTCCGCCAACAAAATTCAGACACGTGGCGAGCCCGACCAGTTTCTCTCCACACTCCGCTTTATCCTGCTCTAACGTTGAGCTTCCAAACCCTACAAAACCCACCAAACCCAACAACACTACGTATGGAATTAGTGCCGTATTTTTTGGAGCTCCCATTGTTGTGTTGTGTTGCAGCATGAGAGAGAGAAATATATATATATATATATATAGTCTAAAAGAGGGTGATTATAGATATTACCTTTTATATTCATTATGTATAACTTTGCTATATATGTGGCTAGTTTGGGAGAGTTTACAAAGATATATTGAAGTTGTTTTGGTGGGTGGAGACATTAAATATTTTTACGAGCCCTTCTTTAGTTGTTAACGTACACATGTGCGTGCAATGAAGAAGTGTTGTCCTTAAATATTGACCAGTCCCACTCGATTGTATTGTTATTACTGGAGTCAGAAAGGAATTGAAACTCCACTTGATACATACTAAATTATGCTCTAAGCTTAGCCGAGCTAGAGAAGATTATGAGTATGTTTATTTGCACAACTCAAGTCATGACTTGAATTGTGTACGTGAGAGAAAAACATTATAGTAAAAAAGTTAAATTTAAATTTTTATGAGAGAAAATATTGTTGGAACATAACTTAAGTTATGAAATGAACAAGGTCTATGTATCTCGCTCAATATTGAGATTAGAGTACTTTCAATCCCCATAAGGTCAAAAGAAAAGACTAAGAACAAATATCAAATTAACCCAAATAAATAGAGAGTTTTTCGGGTAGGTCATGAAAAATGAACTACGAGAAAGGTCCTTATTTTCAGCCATCAGATTTGTATCAGAAAATTTTCTATTATATATATTTTTCAGTCTAATGTGATTAATTTTAACCAGAATTAACGGTCAGAAACTGACTATATCGATAATGAAATTTTAATAAAGAAACTCGTAAATAAAAAATAAAAAAAAACGACGCCACAAGAACTTGAGCCAAGAGTTCTGCATCAAGAAACCACCCTAAATATGAGGTGATTTGTCATTGATTGAATTGTTATGAGTCGTACGTGTGAGGCATATATCGTTTACTATTTCAAAAATGAAACCACCTTAAATATATATGAGGTGATTTGTCAATTATGAGGTTATTATCATTTACTATTTCAAAAATGAAACCACCTTAAATATGAGGTGATTTGTCAATTATGAGTTGTACGTTTGAGGTATATTTATCATTTACTATTTCAAAAACTTATGAATTAGTTACTTGCATGACTTTGTTCAAGAAGCATCCAATGCACGAGAGGAAGCCCGGATTATTCCCTATTCATGAATAGAAAGGTTTTGGATTTTAGCAAACACTTGATGATTCTATGATTGAATTCATCTGGATCTAAATTAATTACACTAGCTACACACATGTGTGTGTATATATATATATATAATATTTATATTTATAGGATCTTTGGCTTTGATTATCTCAATTAGGTTAACACTGCAAACCTATCTCACACCAAGCATCTCACTCAAACTTTTAAATAAATAAATAAATTATTTATTCGTAAATAGATATTCATTGTGCTTTTATGTGTACATGGTTTTGTAAGAGTATGAATATATACACATATATATATATATATATATCATCAAATTCAGCAGGATAAAGACTGTGATTGTTTGTGAGAGCTTTTTACTGTAAAAAAACTCATATTTTAAACTCGAATTAGTAAAGTGAACAGAGTCTAAGATCCAAGAGAACAACATTTTGTAAAAGAATATTAGCTACCTACTTTGTTTTCCCAACCCGTGAAGATTTCTGACCACCCCTTTTTATTTTTTAGGTTGAATAATATGAATCCGTGACTGTCTCAAATTGTCGTGCGTGATTACTTAGAAACACACACACATATGGTCCGAAAAATGTGGGACCCCAAGAATTGTGTATTGCACTAGCAAGTCTTGAAAGAGATTTGGACTGGAAAGTGGAAACCATCTATGTACTTTTAAGGTTTTGTTCATTTTACTGATTTAAAACTGCAGTAAAAAGCTCTCAGAAACAGTCACATCTAACTTTTTTACTATAATAAAAAGCTCTCATATAAAGTCACATCTTAACTCGAATTAAAAACTCGAATGAGCGAACTAAACGAGCCCTAAATAATTTTCAATTTACAATATTACATAGAAAGATTAGATTAGAAATAATTTTCACCTATTCCTAAGCTGGGAATTACATTAATGCTCCAAATATTATACTATATAAATGCTCTCAGAGCATTTTCTCGGCAAGTATATTTGGGAGTTTATATCATGTATAATTAGTGCCAATAATATCTGTGCATCCCGATTCCATAATGAGATTTTAACTTGAATGATGAACCAACTGGCACCTCCAACTATTAATTGAGCTGTTGGTTGCATCATGTGGCGTTGGAGATCAGAAGTTGCGTAAATCATCTAGCATAGTCCAAGCATTAAAAAATGTTGTTATTCCTTAATAAAAATACAAAAAAAAGAGAGAAGAAAACTAGTTGACCAGTCAAATTTTCATAAAATTCTTGTAACTCTTTTTTTTTTTTTTTAATTTTGTTTTGTTTTTGTTACAACTACGGTTTCAATGAGAAACGTTTCAAAGAGAAAGCCCTATAGTAGTTTAATAGCATTAAAAAATGTTGTTATTCCTTAATAAAAATACAAAAAAAAAAAACTAGTTGAACAGTCAAATTTTCATAAAATTCTTGTTACTCTCTCTCACCTACCTACTTTATACATAGTTAGGTCTTTTAGTTATAAATGAAACGCTATTATTGAAACCAAATGGATCGGTTTTTTACATAAATTATGTGAAGTGTGTAGGGCCTAAGAGAAGAAGTTGCCAAAAGATTTTAGGAATGTTTTAGGGCCTGTTTAGTTCGCTGATTTGAGTTGAGATGTGACTTTATGTGAAAATTTTTTACTGTAGTAAAAAATTTAGATGTGACTGTTTGTGAGAGCTTTTTACTATAGCAAAACTTAAATTCTAAACTCGAACCAGCGAAATGAATGAACAGTTACTTTCAAGGGTATCAATTTAATTTAACGGCAGAATTGAAATAGAATCTTTCAAACTTATAAGCTACTAGTAGGGCACATCTGCCAATTTGATCGTGACCATTATTTAAAAAAAAAAATAGGTGAGATATATGAACTTCACACTTTATGATAAGAAATTAGATGTGAAATTGTTGGTAGATTATGCCTGTAAATGTTGCCACATAACACATATAACTCTTTATAAATTCATGGCCATAATTATGCGCACATAGAATATCACAACTCTTAAAAAAGGAAAATTGTATCATATATATAAGTACTTTTTTTTTAACTGATATTTAAGTAGGGGAAAAGCCATTTTCTGTCTTGAACGCACTTTGAACAATGGGTAACTAGAACATACATGATAATTCCTATATATTATTTCTCTAGGAGGGTTCTTCCAATTACATTTCCTAATTATATTTTTCTGATTTTAGCAAGATGGCTACCTATGTGCTATCACATGTATATGATGGAACTTCATACGTAAAAATTAAATGCTTACTATGCAATACAGCGTTGGAGCTTCCAATAATTTCTTACTAGTTGTCTGATCTATACAGATGCATGATGAAACTCCACGCACAGACACACACATTATATATATATATATATATATATACATATATATATATATATATATAATATGTGTCAGTTAGAGATATATATTTGGCATTAAAAATATTTTATTTACGTAATGTCACTAATGATATGTATGTTATCTTTTTATAACTTGTAGATTATTTTTCGTAACATATAAATTATCTTTCGTAGTGACATTAAAATTTTATGCAGTAATATAAATAATAAAATTTTTAAAAAAATAATTGTTAAATTTGAAGTTTTCTCTTTAAATATTGCTGAAAATAGGTATTAATTGATTTACTACTTAGCTGGATACAGTTAGGTAACGGCAATGTACTCTTTAATAGGTGGACCCTGAACCGTTGTGTATAGCCATAATATAGTTAAAGCCTAACACCAAGGTGGTACGTGAAAAATGTGGCTGCAGGCTTAGTACGATGGTAAATCAATATTCAGGTTTCAACGTTGAGGTATTGAAAGAAGTAAATAGAACTTTTACAGTAAATAATTAAAGTAAATGAGACATTTTATAAATATTTAAAGTAAATAACAGTAAATTACAATAAATTTATTAAGTAAATCATTTTTTCTTCAGAAATAAATTATTTATCAAGTAAATTTTCTATGTACTTAATAAATTTACTATTTTCTGCAAATATTTTTAAAGCCTAGTACAATTCACTTTTTGAGTTTGGTAAAAATACTATTTAATAGAACCCAAAGGAAAAATAGTAGTCCTAATTAGTGCCAAAAAAATAAACAAACTTCTTCTTTTTTTTTTTTTTTTGATGATTAATAGTATGGTGTGACACTAAAGGAGGCAACCTAAAGTTGGTAATTCAACCCAATTTTAACTTTATTTTTTCAATTATGTTATGTGAGTGTAACCCTTTTGTATTGGAATCCAAAAATGATAAAAAATCATTCGTCATCAAGAAATAAAAAACACAAATCCATAAACTTTTGGCGAATTTGGGGGGTGGTGCTAAATTGGAGTTTGGGTGAAGTAGTGGAAATGGGCTGGGCTTTGAATAATTGGGCTTGTAGTTGGGTCCATCAGTGAGTCCCAGTCCGAGTCTCCGAGTACTCGCCTCTCGATTAAAGCTTTCCTTCGTTCCATCGGAGTTGAGTCGAAAGGCGGCGTTTGTTCGTTCCTTCCTTCCTTTCTTTCTCCGCCATGGACCTCAAAACCCAGGTCTCTCTCTCTCTCTCTCTCTCTCTCTCTCTCTGTTGTATGTGTTTCGGTTTGTTTCTTTTGTTTGGTAATAAAGGAAGTCCCTTTTTGTTTGGTTGCTGGAAAACCGAGGGAAAATGAAGGAAACTGGTTATTCTGGATTATGTATAAATAACTTTCAATGGCCTAGTTACATTTTTTTTTTTGCGTGCTTTTATAAGAATTAAGAAAATGGTTTTGTTTTTAATCTTTACACAATTCTTGGCGCTGTATTTACAATCTGGTTTTCTAAGTTTAATTTTTCTGATTATCAAATGTCGTGAGTTTTTCAATCCAAAAATAAAAATAAAATGGAACACTTGTGACGAGTATTCTAAGGACTCATTTAGTTCGCTGATTCGAGTTTTTAATTCGAGTTGAGTTACTGTAGTAAAAAAGTTAGGTGACTGTTTTTGAGAGTTTTTTACTCGAATGGTTGAAATCAAGATGGCTTAAGAGTATAATTTTTGCCTTTATTCTCAGTCAGTATTTTGAACTTAAAAAACAATTGGAAATAAAAGTTATGGAAATCACAGTTTAGTGTAATTATGGTTACCATTTTCTTGATTGGATAGTTACCAAAATTTCTGTGAATAATGTTTATAAAGTCCATTGTTATCAATATGAATAATGACTTCATGTCTTTTTCACCATATTTCTGTTTGTTTCCATTGCTTTTGCTTGTCCCATTTATGATTGACCAACTAAAAGAAAAGAGGTAAGGGTTTCTGCCATAATGAACACATTATAGCTTTTGAAAAGAGACTACCCATTTGGTACAGTAAATTTGTAGAGTGCAGACTTATAGCTAAATGAAATTTGTGATCTCGAGAGCCTGTTTGGTATGCTTAAAGTTTGCTGCGAGAAAAATGGTTTCTGCCTATAGAGCTGAAATTTGTGTTTGTTTTGTTATTCTTCTCTATATTAACCTTAGTCATTGGTGAAATGTTTCAAGAAAGGTTTTGTAGGAGTACTGAACTTATTATTGTCATGTTGGATAGGACTTACATGTATTGATTATACCAATTTTATTGTCTTTATTGTTTGTTGGGGTCTTTTGCATTTGTCTAAGCATATATAACATTCTCTCAAGATTAATTTCATCATTACTGATTAATGCTTAATGTATTTGTCATCCTTTTCCAAAGGTGAATGAAGAATAGGATTAGTTTCAAGGTTGAACTAGATCTGCAGTTGAACATCAGTGCGGTAAGATGTCCGGAACAACTATTTCGTCGACAGCATCAGGTAGCGGCCAAAAAGTTCCTAAGTTTGCTGCAAAGGCGGGATTTGTCATACCAAAAAACAAGTTGTCTGGTTCATTGGTGCCCATATTCCGAGGAGGGAAAAAGCTCGGAGCCAATGGTATGCTTGATGATGAAAGTACCAAACAGGATCCAAGGAAAACAAAATGGGGCCCTGATCTGACACAGGATGCTGCTGTTAAGAGAGGAAGAGCCTTAGCTTATCAGGTATATTAGCAGTACTTTGCAAGTTGTTCTCCTCTAATAAGCATTAACATAATGGTCCAAATAATATTTCCTTCCAAAGATTATGTATTTCGCTCCCTGTTCCACTTTCTAGGCTTCCATAACATTAATTCTCTATGGTTGATTCCCCCTCTCCTAACATAGGAAAATAAGTAGATTGAAATGTCCCTTGCCTTATTCTTCTGTGTGAATGGTTCACATAGAAGCTTCTCATTCCAGGTGCCACTAAGTGATATTACTGCCTCTGTGGTGGCACAAATTTTTCCAGACTCGTGTGGATCAAATTACACAACAACTCAAATCTGGAATATCAATGATTGAGGATGGTGGTGATCTAGCACTAGGTTCTGAAAGTCCAGATCGTGAATCACCCGGATGTCAAATTGATAGTGAGGTAGAATTATGGGTAACAATCCTTTTTTTTTTTTTTTTGGTCATCTTGATAGTGAGGTAGAATAATTTTTCTATGTTTTTTTGAACTGATAATTATTTTTCTGGATATAGAAGGCAGAAGAATTGGAACTCGAAAAGCGAGAAGTGATTGGTATGTTCATGTCTTTTCGTAGATTCAGCCTCTCTTATGTTCTCTAAACGATAATTAAGGTTTTTGTTGATGATTTCCAGGTGAAATACTGAAACTCAATCCAAGTTACGACGTCCCTTCTGATTATAAACCGTTGCTGAAAGAGGCCAAAGTCTCCATACCTGTAAGTATAATAGGCTTTTCTGAAGCTCTATTTACTCCGCTGAGAGATTTCAATTTGGCTTATTTGGATGGTGTAAAGGAACTTAAAAGAAGATGAATAACAAGAATTGCTGAAAACATGAAATTCTCGTTACTGAATAGGTCTTTAAATAGCTAGAACTGTTAGCTAACAAATTCTGTTAAGAAACTAATTCCTAACTAACTGCTGACTCAACACTACAAGTGGCTCTAACAGATGGAAAAGCACATAAATGTAGCAAGATATGAGTGGTGTTTTGTTCATGTCTATGAGACAAAGAACATACTAGAGGTAGAACAATCATATGGTTAAATTGTAATCTGGACTCGGTAAATGCAGTAAGGTTGTATTATCTTGTATGAATCGAGTTATGGATCCATTTGACATTGCTTTTAGAGGTTGCTTTTAGCTTTTTTAAAGAAGCTAGAGCAGGTTAGGGTGTTTGGTAAATCCTACTTTTGTCTAGCAACTTCTAAACATTGCTGTCAAACAACATAATTTGAGAAGTAGGTTAGGAATTGCTTTTACGCAGCTGCTTCTGCTATAATTATCCAAATTTACCAAGATAACCTTAATAATAAAATTTAATTCTCAATATACCTATTTTACTTTTTTCATATCAAATTAAAAAATATATATTTCTAAAATAGTTATTTTAAAAATTAAAAATCTTTAATAAGTATGCTATGCTAAATTTCTTTCAAATATTTTTTAATAATTATCAAAATACTTAAAAATAACAATAATAAATATTAGTTGATGAATAATTTTTCTCCTTGAATAAATGTAATGTATTTTTAAGAAGTATTTTAATTGATAAAATTTAAAATATATTTTTATATTATGAATATTGACCATAAAAATAGAAATAAAATTAACTATAAACATGTGTGATAAAGTATGTCTACTTTCGTCATTATGCATTCAATAATACACAGTTTACCAAACACCTAAGTTGGAAAATTTGTCAAGAGTGAAATATGCTCTGGTAGAAGTTGTCTGTTGAAATTCATCATGACAATGATGAATGGAGAAAATGGACATCAGGGATTTGTATATTTTTTATTGGCTGTTTCGATGATTGCATCTGCATTTAAAGCTATTAGGTGAAGGCAAAGAAAAAAAAAAAGATTTTATGCTTGAACGTTGAAAACTTGAATATGAAATGTCTAAAAGACTGAAGAGGAAAGTTTCAGAGGATTAACAAAATAATGAAAGAAACACATTGTTTTCACTGCTAGCCAGTAAGGGTTAATTGCAGTATGGTTAGGTTTGAGGAATTGCTACCTTCTAAACTATTCTTAAGATGGATAATAGTTCATATGTGTAAGTAAATCCGATTCCTAGTTTAAGCTTTACCGACTGTTAGGTCCAATTAAAGTGAGGGCTTAATAATCCGACAACTTAGGTTTTTGAAACGGAAAAATATTTGGGGTCAGATAGTACAATCAAGTTCTTTTTCTTAAGTTTTTCAATTGTCATATGCGAGCTCACTACAGGTTTGAAAAGTCATCCCATAACATCTGGAAATGGACGTATTAAGTTGAACATATAATGAGAGTACACGTTTCACGTAGGATGACACACTTGGTAAAATTGGGGTGTTTTGTGTGTTTTATTTGGATTTATATTTTTATTTGGCTGTTGTCTATATTTTGTTTGACCTTTTCGCAGATTATAGTCTCTTTATTATATGTTTTCTTTCGTAAATTATAGAAATCATTTTGCTTTATGCCTTTTCTTTCGTAAATAATAGAAACCATTTTGCTTGTGCCTTTTCAGGTCAAACAGTATCCTGGATATAATTTTGTTGGACTAGTTTTTGGACCTGGAGGTGATAATCAAAAGCGACTAGAAAAGGTAAGAAGTATCGGTAAACAAACTGCCAAATTTTATATCAAAACTTTTCATTACTACCACAGGGATGTACTAATAGAAAATTCATGTCACTTCTTGTTCACATGGAAAATCAGGAAACTGGAGCTAAGATTCAAGTCTATGGAATGAAAGTAGAGGGTGGACAGAAGGTATTAATTCAATCCATATAGAAATCAATTACATGAAATATTGAAGATATAGTTCATCATCTCATCCCTTCTTTATCTCCTTAAAGATATTTGGCTCTTGTTCTCTGGATTGTCTTCTTATTTTGTATTTAAAAGTGTAATTCTGTTGAATTTTGGTTAGAATGTGTTACTGTTGTTGGTTCACCTTTTAATAGGTTAAGCTTTTCAGAGAATTGGTAAACTAACAAGTTCTTTTATTTATTTCTTTTTTCAGGTTGAAATAAAACCATCTGATGGGAATCAAATCCACAGTCCTTATGAAGACTTATATGTCCATATATCAGCCGACATATTTGAGAAAGTAGATGCAGCGGTGTCTGTCATTGAGCTGTTAATCACCTCAGTATCAGTGAGTTTATTACTTGAGAGATTACAATATCTTTCCGATTCACATTGCTCAGCTATGTTCTGAAGCTTTTCAATAAATATATTTTCGTTGTTTTATTTAGGGAAATCTTGCTCCCGCTTCCACATCCTCCAATTCAGCTTCTGAGGATGATGTAAACGTTCAGTTGGGCCAGGATGTTGCCACTAATGACTTGGGTCATAGCTATGCGATACAACCAGTGCACGGACCTAGACTTGTTCTTCCACAAGGACAGTTTCAGTCTCCTGGTCAATGGCTTCCATCGGGCCCCCTGAACACCGCATTGCATCCACCTTCCAGCTTTATTCCTTCGCCAAATTCTTCTGCAACACCTGTCAACAATCCTGCCCATATGTCAACTCCAACTTTTAGACCTTCAAACATGTATTCTCTGTTTGGCCCTCCGCCACTTCCTACTGGGTGCAACTCACTTCCCCAAAACCAATCTCTTGTATCCCCTAGACTGCAGCCACCTGGACAATATCCGCAGCATCCGTACATGGCTCAGACAACTCGAAATCCTTCTCCAATAGCTCCCCAGCTTCCCCCAGTTCAAGCTCATAATATTTCAGCTCCACTTCCATCTACTGGAAGTCAACTACCACCTATGGGAATCACCGGGCCGTCGATGACTTCACTACCTCAACCTGTTTCTAGTCTTCCACCAGGGTCACTACCTGTGAATACTCCACTTTCTGCAGGCTTTATTAACATGACACAGATGACTCCGAGAATGGTTCCTACCAATGGGATTTATCCTGCAGTTCCACCTTTAAATATATCAACAGCCATTTCAGTTTCACCTCTGAATCCCCCTCCTACATACCCAGGTTTTCCGTCTGTTCTTCAACCTCAAATGGGGCCTACTCCTTCGTTGTCAGCTTCTATAAGCTCGACACCAGTACCTGTGCCTGTATTAGGTTCTGCACTGAATCCTTCACCAGGAATTTCTTCTGTTTCCGGAAGTGTGCGGAATTTCGCTCCTGTTATTACACCACCTTTGCCAACAGCTCCGGGTCCCGGCAACTTTACTTTTCAAGCTGGCCGACCTCAAAATGCAGCCTTTCAGGCAGTTCCCTGGACGGGCAATCAATTTGGGACTCAGAGCGCTCCACATTCAATTTTGCAGCCTCCACCATCACAGCAGCCATTATCTGTGTTTCGAAGGCCACAAGTTGGCAACAACATGGGTCAACCTCAACCTCAGCCTCATATGTACAGAAATCAGACAGGGATTCTAGGTCCTGGTCTTCCAACATTTCCGGATGCAAGTGGCGTAGCACTGAGGAATCAGATCCTGCAAGTGGGGCCAAGGAACTTCAGCCCAACTACCCAAATGCCTGGTTATCCAGGTGCTCTGCCCTCTAGGCCAGGAAGTCTTGTTCCGCTTCAGAACTATCCTGTTCCGCTTCAGAACTATCCTGTTCAGAGGATGCGGTCAGAAACTCCACTTGCTCAAAATCGTCAGCTCAACCACAATCTCTCCTTTACTTCTGGCAGGTCAGCTTCTACTCCTGGAGAGCAGCAACTTTATGATCCGTTCTCGCCCACTTCCATTTCTATTGCATCCCAGCAGCTGCAGGGAGGGATTCCGAGAAGGTGAAGAAACACAGAAAACAATCTGTAGTACTGGATTCAGGGCCTTGTTGAAGGGAAAATCAGGTCTTGCTTGAGACTTGTTATATTACCTATGAAATCGGATTCTTATCATGTCACTTCAGTAAATTTTTATATTTGGAAGTAACTACTGATAGAAATGTAAGCATTGAAAATTCATCTATATATATATATATATATTTGCTTCTTTGCCAAATTCAAAAAATCAATGTGGAGAATATAATAAAAAAAATGAGATATTTCAAATTTACAATCTATCCATATCCATAAATCGATTAAATTTTGTGTCATTTAGAATGCTGTTTTTTTTTTTTTCTTAAAAAAAAATTTACCAGAAAGACCCCGAAGGAATGAATTTGCGTTTCCCTCTATCATCAGTTATTGTACTCACAATTGAGTCATCTATTCCCTTTTGAAGAAGAAAACTTTACGTTTAGTAAACAATTAACTGTCTTATTATGATAATTTTAATAATTAGTTGGTATTGGTAGAATAGGTCCTATCAACATATATTTCTCTAAAACCCTCACATAATGGCGCGCATAATGGAGCCTAAAGTATTATTCATGCATTGAAATTTGAAAGCTTGAAAGGTAAGGAATACTCTAATAGAGTGGAGCACTTATCCTCGACTTGAATTTGAAGGTGAAGCTTCCACCTTGATTGCCCTCTTCAGCATCTAACAATATCAAAGTACATTATGGTTAAATTTGGAGTGCACACAAGTCCAGGCACATGGTTTAGTTTGGACATTTTTGAGGGAAAATTTCAAACCAAACCGAAGTAGTTAGTTTCTAATATTTGAACCGAACTGAACCGAACCGAACCGGACATTTTTGAGACTTGTGGACTTGACAGTTACTCTTGCTCCATAATTTTGGTGCAGAGAAGGGTTGGAATCATCGTCAAAATGAGTGCTATCATCAAGTTTCTATTACTTGGTTAAAAAGATCCTTTGGCTCTGACAATTCTTCAGAAGTCCATTTGTTCAAAAAGTTCTCTCAAATATGCCACTAAGAAAACAAGAAATAAAAAGAGTGGTCCAATATCAGCGTTTATGTGAATGCACTGGCCTGGTGGCACTTCCACTTGCTCATTTGCTGAACATATTGACGTGGGTTCTGATAGATTCAATCTTCCAATTTGAAGCTGTTTTTTCGCAGACAAAATATTTCAAATTGTTTTCCAATATCGGCACCTTGATAAACGTCTTAAGACAGGTCTATCTGAATTTCTACTAATAATTGAAACAAGAAATCTGACAAAAGTATGTCATTAGGCATGCCAATAATGTCATTATGTACAAGTGAGGCATACGTACAAAGCTTAAGTGTGAAACATACATTTCTAAAGATGGATCACACAGAAGGGCCAGTTCTGAGCACCCTCTCTAATTTCTCTGCTTTGGTGTAATCCTTTTCCGTAAGCGGCCCTGCCGGAAAAGGAGTGATTTCGACGATTAGGTGTGGAGTTGGGAGCTCATCAAACAATGCCCTCACATTGTTACAACACACACTTTCCCCGTGAGCGCTTTCCCTTCTAATTTGACAACCCTACAAAATTACCCCAAATCTCTTACTCGAGGAGGAAAAAGATACAATTTTTTTTTTAAAACATCCATTAAAGTAAGAGTTGTACTACCTTGTGGGAAGTGGCATCTACAAAGTGATCGTCATCGGACAACAAGGATGCAATGGCTTTGAGAAGTCGCCTTCCTTCTGATTTAGATGGCACCCTATAGTTCCTTTTGAGTGTTCCTTTTGTTGTGGGATGCCATTTGCTCACTAATTTCCTTCTATCAGCTGCTTCTTTGACTGATTAAACAAATCGAGACTTAGCAGCCATATTATATGGGAGAAAAAAAAATTTGCAGCCTTCAATTAAGAATGTGCAAATTGGCAAAAAGATAAACAAATAAAGAAGGAAAGGAATTCTAGATTGGTAAAGCCTCAGACCAATCCTCACCTAATTAATGCACCTAGTAGAATAACAACATCCAAAATTTCAACACCAAATAACATATCAGCTATTCATATTATTTTCCTCATAGAGTGTGTAGAAAATTTGCTAACATGTTAAATTGACCAAGTTCGGGACAAAAACATATTAGGCCCAACACGTGATAAGAGTCTCAGAGTATTGCAATTATAGGGGTTTGAACTTTAGGATCTCCTACTTTGATGTCAATTCTTCTAGTTCTAAAAGTTAAGCTATTGGGTGGGGCCTCCCAGGTCCAACATTATTATTGCAAACAAGAAACAAATATTGAAGCCCCAGTGATGCCAATATGTTCTTTAGTAACTTTGGCACTTTTCAGGCAGAAATCTTAGAACTATACACATTCAGTTCTTATCAACCCAAAAGTATCCTATATGGAAAATGATGATCTGAATAACTGAATTCTTCTTCAAGTCATTTGGCCTCGTTTGGTTCCTATACTCGAATGATTCTCATTCTGCTACATTTTTCATCTCATAAAAAACTTAAATTAAAAAATTTCTTCCCTCACAAAGTTCTCATCAAATTCAATGAATCAGAATAACTAACTTGAACATTCAAACGGACCCTTAAAGTTTTGAGGGGCACCAAATGTATAATATACTGTGTCCACTTTTTTTTAAATTTTTTATAAATAAGTTAGAATCAAAAGCGAAGAACATGGTTATGCAGCACTGCAAGAAACAAGTAGAGCTGAGAAAGAAAGAAACCTGGTTTGGCTTGAATGCTATTTAGCCACTTGGAGAAGCCCATATCACCAGATTCACCTCCAACTCCATCCCCACCATTTCCTTCCAAATCTAAAACAACTTCATCAATTAAATAAAACCCATTTCTTTATTTTTTTTTTTTGAAAAAAAAAAGAAAAGAAAGAAGGGATTTTTACCTGAAAGAAGAGGATTAGAGAGAGATCCGGCAAGACCGGACTTTAAGAGGGCATAGAAGATGCAAAGACGACCTGCCCATAAAACAGGAGACTCCAAAAGCGAAGCACTAACACTCAATCTTGTTGTCGTTTTAGTCAGACTGTTTCTTCTTCTTCTCCTTCTAATTCTTCTTCCCTTTGTTGTAGAACCAAATGTCGTTTTGCTGAAATAGAGTAGTGTTTTGTGTCCATTTCCAAACCCAAACCCAAGAAAGAGGCCCTTGTTGGGAACTAGAAAAGACCTAGTAGTAGTACTACTGGTAATTTGGAAAGTGTTGAATGGGAAACCATTTGATGTATGCATTTCTTTTCTTTTTGTTTCTCTTCTGCTGACTTTCTCTCTCTCATTTCCCAACTTTAATCTTATTTTTGAGGATCAAAGATAACAAGTCATGTTTAAGAAACGCTGTCGTTTTGTCTCAAAAGAAAAACACTGCTGCTTATCTCTATCCCCATCTCTCCCACATGTTGTGGCCCACCGCCCATTGATATTTTATAATGCTCCAAAGAGTAGCCATCCCATCCTCGATGGATTTACATCTGTTTTGTTTTGTCTGTATTAGTAACATACGTTTCTCTCATTCCCATTCTTATTCGTGTTTATGAAGCATTTTAATGGGTGGGATGGGATTAATTCCAACTCTAGTTTAAACCAAGCTAGATGGGCTAGCTCGATGCCCGCCACCCGAACCTCTTAAATTGGCTTAAACTTTTGGACCGAGCTGGTTGAGATTTTGAGCCCAAAAACTTATTCAAATTAAGTCAGATCGGGTAGAGTTTAACACTATTTTTATGTTTTTTAATGTCTTATAAAATTTTAAATCAGGGTCAGACTGGGTTAGCCCTCACATCTTTAAGCTTTGCTCGGTTTGCTAAATTTTTAGGTTGCTGGGCACCCCGAACTCTCACATCTAATTCCAATTAATAAAAAACTCGGGAAATCAGAAACATATTTTTTTTTGAAAAATTGAAAAAATTTTATGAGTAGTTGGGAGTATTATTTTATGGATATAGAACCGCGTACTTTGTTAAAGAGAGAAATAATATTTTGGTGAGTACTAAATACTAAATTTTTTTTTTAATAAAAACCCATATATCAAGAAACTTACATTTAACCAAAAATAGAGTAATAAACATCACAATACAAGGCTAATGACCCAGCAGGAGAACGAACATACATTTGAGGCCCAAAAATGGGAGAATACTTCAGCACACTAAGATCGAGCACACCTAAGGCTCTATTTGATAAAATCCCTCTCAACAAGATAAGTTTTTGAGCGATGGAGAGACAAAAGATCGTAGCACTAAAGTTTCACCAAACACTGCCAAGATACTAGTCCAACAAACACAAATAACAAACCAAGACAACGGGATGAAAGCCTCGACTATTAAAGTAAAGCAAACACACCATAAACACAAAACGACCACAAGACCTGTTGTCAAAGAACTCCGGTGAAGAGGCAATTGGCGAGAGCACTATCCGGAAAGACAAATGACTTTGAAGGAGATAAGGCAAGATTGAGAAAGTAGCGTCAAACTGCAAGTGAAACTAACCCTCTACATCCGCTACCGGCAATTGAAAACACCACCTCCAAGAGAAGCCCACGGCCACACGAAACAAAATGCCAAGGGAGCAAGACCATCACGGGTGAACATGTTAGAAGCAACAACCTAAACGAACAACACCCCACTTCCAAAGCATGTCAGATCTACTCTAAGAAAGTGTCACTCTACACACTACCACTAACACGGAAAAGACGACGACGAGATGAGTCCGGGGACCAAGTTTCAGGGCCGAAAGCCTGGCGACACATCCGTAGACGGCATCGGAACTCCGGTCAAACGCAGCGCTTCAAAAAGCAACTTTGGAGAGAGACTAAAGCGAATATTTTTAATTTGAGTACTAAATACTAATTCAGTACTTGCATAAATGAGATTTCAAATCTATTGAATATAGAATATCAAAGAAAGAGGAGTAATCTTGGGCATCGTTTAGTTCACTGATTCGAGTTTTTAATTTAAATTGAGCTGTGATTTTATGTGAGAATTTTTTATTGTAGTAAAAAAATTTGATGTGACTATTTCTGAGAGGAAAACTCGAATTTTAAACTCAAATGGTGAAATGAACATGGCCTTGATAAATACTCTTTGAAAGTATATGGATTTAGATTTTTACTTTTTATTCTTGATTCATAATCTTTTTAATCAAATAATTACACTAACAAAAAAATATTTATTAAGAATAAGATGTAAAAATCTAGATTCATGCATTCTTAAAGCTAAATTCTCAATTTTTTCAATAAAGAGTCTCGTTCATTTCACCAATTCGAGTTTAGAATTCGAGTTTTATTACAATAAAAAGCTCTTAAAAATAATCACATTTAACTTTTTTACTACTGTAAAAAATTTTCATATAAAATCACATACAAATTTAAATCAACGAATTAGACGGCTTTTAATTAGTTGGTATACAACTTCTTTTGGGTGGTTGTTGCGTTTTATCATTTAATTTTTTCCTCTCTTTAATTGATATCGTTTCTATTAATGAAAAAGTCCTAAATACCCTCAGCCACCATCAAACACGTATGTGTTGAACTCACTTTATCTCCATCTACACTTTTTGTCAGATCAAAAGACTGATCTTTATAAATATTGTTCTTTTAGTTACCCTCCTTAAAAATCTCGAGAGAAAACCAAAAATGTCAATATCATAATTAAAGTAATATTATTTTAATTGTATTATTATTATAAATTTATCTTATATCATTAATAATTTATAAATTATCTTTTCATAAATTGTATGTTATTTTTTTAATCTGCATATTATTTTAACTTACAGATTAATTTTTATAATATGCAGGGTTTTTTTAACTTATAAGTTATTTTTTGTAATGACTTTAAAATTTTATGTTGTGATATAAATAATAAAATTAAAAAAAAAAACTGTTAAACTTGAAATTTTCTTGAAAATCTTTTCTCCAATGGGTTCCTACTTAGGCATTTTCTCCCATTCAACCTCTGATCAATTGCATTGTTCTATACACTTTCTACGCTAACTAAAGCGAAAAACCAAAAATAAAATATAGATTTGTATCAGATAAACATTGTTTAAAAAAAATTTAAATTGTTCAAACCAAGCCAAACTAAATACGATACACACACACACACGCATATATAGTACAAAGTTGACATACAAGTAATTTATAAGATATCTTATGACTTTACCTTAAACATTTTCTTAATTCTAATCTCCATGCATGCATGCCAAACTAAGACATATGCATGCATGGATATCAAATTGAGTCCCAAAAGAATATCATTGAAAATCATGATATGATATTCTTTTGGGACTCAATATCATACGAGTCTTCTTCTCCCTTCTCTTCTTTCCTCGCCAAAGAAAAGTAATGAGCCTTTTCACCATAAATCTTAAGCAAAACCAAGTAGAAGAATATTCCAAAAACTGCAATAAAAATCAAGAACCAGCTGAACTCTAGGTTTATAAGCGACTTGGCTCTGTGAAGTGCCTCTTCTCCTGAGCATCTGGCCACTTTACGACCATCATCATCGGACAAGAAGCAACCCTTAGGCAAGAAGTGCGGGGTCCACAACATGAACCCCATCACCATAAACCAAACACCTTGGAAGAATATGCTTAGAGACCTCACAAAACTTACCATGAAACTATTTGGGAAACCGATTCCCATTAGGGTTGTGACTAAGGAAACATAAATCACAAGCTCGAGAAAGAAATGGAATTGGCCTTCTGGACCATTGTGGTCGGTTGAGTGAAGATGAAAAAGGAGAAGTTCTACTGCAAAGGTTATGGAGGCAAGGAAATAGATCAAGCCATGGTGAGTACTTTTGGGAGAAATTCGGTCTAGGAGGACGACCAAGGCCGCGTAGACGAGAAGGGAAAGGGAAATGGAGGAGTGCTCGAAAGTATGGAGATGGTTGGAAGGGATGGTCCCGTCGATGTCGAGTGGCTGGTGGCGGTCAGGGCTGACGAAGAGTTCCATGGCTATGGAGGTTGTGGAGCCCACCATGATGAGGTAGAGCTCGGAGTATCGGAATTTTGAGGCCGGGAACCATGGCTGCGCGGTGTAGGAGGATGGCCGAAGGGCGTGCAGCTTGATGTGGTTAAAGAGGTGCCATAAGCCAATGAGGAAGAATCCAAGTCCTGGTGCCACATGACCTATCAAAGAGCCCATGTCCTAAAATTAGCTATAATGGTTAAGAAAGAGAAGTGTAATGTATTTGGAATGGTTTAAGACACTAGTGGAGTAAAGGAATTGTATGATTTGAAAATTTGAACATGAATTGATTGGAATATTGCTATAGGAAATTAAGAGGAAGGTTCTCATTTATAATCCTCCAGTGGGATACTCTGTGTATGTCGTGGACCTATTAGTTTACTTTGCTTGGAAGTTATTCACTTATGCAAACAAACAACCATTAGGAAGTACAATTCATTTTCATGCACACATGAAAGATAATGATAAAGAGTTTTTTTTTTTTTTTTTTTTTTTTTTTTTTTGGGTGAAAAAAATTTTTTTTTTCTAGGTATTTATGTAATGAATGTAGATATATTAGAAGGTTAGTTTAGTATTATTTTTCCCTTTTGGGATCAACTTTGTGGCTCTCTACATTTTAACTCTTGAAAAGATTGCACCCTTTTTGCACACATCTCGTTCCCTACGAGTAAAAGCATATATTTGAGGAATATATTCTAACAAATAGTAAACAAGTAGTTATATGAAAAGGAAAAAAAAAATTAACATACAAAAAAGCTAATGTGAAAACAACGTACTCAGTAGTCATGGGACATATCATCAAGCTAACCTATAAATACGTTTGATTACCACGTCTTACAATCGTAAAGTGAATTATGACAAATTATTCGATTGCTTCTTTAAAGCAACAACTTCATCTAATATTGACGCAATGAATGCACGAAAGTAAGGTCCATTTAGTTCACTGATTTAAATGTTTAATTTGAGTTAAGATGTGATTTTATGTGAGAGTTTTTTACTATAACAAAAAATTTAGATGTGACTGTTTCTGAAAGCTTTTTACTGTAGTAAAACTCGAATTCTAAACTCAAATTGGTGAAATGAACGGGGCCTCAGACTTCTCTTGAACACAATATTGAAATGTTTGTAACTATATATACACAATGATGAAAGTGAGAATCTTGTTGCTGAATCTCTTTCATAACTTAAAACTACCGGATTCATTAAACATGTTATATAATTAATAACATGACGAGTAAGCTTTCCTGTGAACAAAATTATTATCAACACTTTGTGATGCTAGCATACAAGGGGGTGCCCTAAAGAATCATATAGTTAAAAAATTAGAAAATAATTAATTAATAAATTCCTACTCTAGTGCACCTCTCCAATTCCTTCAATGTTAGGATCACCATGAGGTGCTATGTGAGTGAGAGGCTGATCGCTGCGACAGTCAATCGTTTCTTACATTTTTATATTGGTTTGCACTTCTTTTTTTTTTTTTTCTTTTTTTTTTACATATATATAT